TTTGTGGGGGGGCGTTGGGGGGGCGGTTACATTTTCATGAAAAACCCCTGGAAGGAAGAATTGGGAGTTTTTTCTCGCTCATTTTCCGTTGCATTGGAGCCAGCCAATAGGGGCGCGGGAGGGTTGAACCCCCAATCCCGTTCCAGCGTTTCTCAGGTCACTGTCCCACTGACAGTGCCATTTTTCCACCCAAAGGTCACTGAGTCGCGATCGTTTGCTCCCCAAAGGAAATGGGGTTTGGGAGGAAAACACACTTGGGGTGGGACAAAGGGGGCTGAAATGTGGCCCCCCGGGAAGGGGGGGCCCAGGCTGTGTCCTCATGTGGGGAGTCCCAGGGAGGTTGAGTTCATGGCTGTGACCCGTGTTACTCTCCGAGGGAGGAGGGGGAATTGTGCTCCCAACGTGGGACCCTGCCAAGCCACCTCCGCTGCTCCCGGCTCCCCTGGGGGCCGCTCACACCCCTTCATCCAGGAAGACAAGGCCAGGGGGTTAGAGGAGGAGAAACAGGAATCTCCCTCAATGGGGTGTCCCGTTCTCTGCCTCCCGTTCCCAGCCAACCCCCTGGTCTGGGGCTGGAGACTGGGACCCAGAGCGTCTTAGGGGGTCCCTTACCATGTCCCTCACCTCCGTGCAGCCTGGTGAGAAGCCGGGTGCAAGCCCCAAGCTGGCTGGGAGCGTCCACACGGCACCCTGAACGCGAAACGATCCACACGATTGGCTCTATGCTTATTTCAAACCCTACCCCGCGCCCAATGAGGAACTAGCGCTATTTCCAGCCACCCCTTAACCCGCCTGGAACAAGGGCCACAGGGAAGCTGCCACAGCGCGCCCCTGAGTTGGAAAAATAATTCGAAACAACGGGCGTGTTTGAGGACGCGGGGTCGCTATTTCGGGGGAAATATCCCCCAGTGTCGCCGTTCCCTTAGATTTCACCAACCATGCACAATGTGTGAGCATCCCGAGCTCCATCACAGCCTCTAGATGGAGTCACAGACCCCCCTGGGCATCCCGCTCCATCTGGGCCCCCCGGGAGCCTGCCTCTGTTAGAGGTGGTGCCCTACATCGGAGATCCCAACAATATTCAGAGGATCATGCCAGCTGGCCCCCCCCTCCGGTTCCCTGCCAGAGCCCCCCGGGCTGCCCCAGCCCCCGCCCTCCCCTGGGGCATGGCCCCACAGCCCAGCCCCGGAGCAGCAAGCACCATCATGAGGATCCCATCTGGCTTAAGGTCTGTGAGTCACTGAGCGCAGCGCCCCCTAGTGGTGACTGGGGACCAGCGCTGGGGAGAGCGCCCCCTGCTGAGCCACCTGCCCCATTTGCTGCAGCATGGCGCCCCCTACGGCCACACTGCAGCATTAGATCAGAACTGACTGGAGGCAGGAAATTCCCCCCCTCTCCCTCCCTCTCCCCCGCCAGCAGCACATGCCCTGGAAGTGCCAAGATAGGAACCAGCTGGTTTGGCTCTTTTGGCCTGTCCCTCCCTGATGTCCTCTCACCTGTTTCCCCCCTCCTCATGGACCGAGCCTGCCCCCCACTCTGCACAGGGTGTGGGCCCCTCTCTGGTTGCCCCCCTTCCAGCGTGGCTGTCTATGATCAGCCAGAGAATAGTGATAACCACCATTGGTAAGCGTCATCATTAGACTTCAGAGGCAACACAGGCTGAACCTAGTCTTCCTGGCAGCAGCTCCCAGTCCCCCTCCTACATCCCAGATGGGCTCCACCCATGCTCTTTCTCCCACCCTTCCACTGAAACCATCAGGAGTGACAGAGTCAAAACCAGCATTTGTAAGTACTGTCATTAGGCTTCAGAGTTAACAGATTCTACCACAGGCATAACTGTTTCTTTGGCTCCTGTAATGACCCACCATTTCCCCCACCCACATGGGTTCCACCCTCAGTCTGCTCTCTCTTTCTTATCCACCAGAATAATCAGCAGTTGAATTTAAACTGATGTCACAGGTGTCATCATTAGGTTCAAGTGTTAACAATGCCATTGGGCTATAAGAGGCCATTGCTCACCTCTTGGAGCCATTGCGTCATGCTCTCTATGGACTCAGGTACCCCTCACACTGGCTCAACAGCTTTCTTTGCAGCTGGGAGGGTTAGAGAATGAATGTATTAAATAAGGCAGAGATGCTGTCGAATCCAATTACTCCACACTAGACTCAGCAATACATCATCCAGGCTGAGTGTTGAATGGGAAAGGAGAACTGTTGTGCTTAAGGCACAGGGAAGGATTCCAGGACTCCTGGGTTCACCTCCCATCTCCCTGCATGACCATGGGCAGGCCACTGAATTGTTCTGTGCCTCAGTTTCCCCTCTCCACTCTGGCCTTATCTGTCTATTTAGACCATGAGCAATGTGGGCCGGGGACAAGCTCTTGCAAATATTGGGGATTTCACTGTGGGTGTGCAATCCACAGTGACCCCACTAGGTTATGATCTCGGTAACAAACTCTTTTATTCTTGGCATCCGTGACTGAGGAATTTGCCCCTCAGCATTTCCTATGAAGTCCCTGAGCTGTTAGTGAGAAATCTGGCTTTGTCTGGTCTCCCCATATCACGGGTGGGAGTGTTTTCCAGGGAAACCGAGGCGCAGCTCGGAAATGCGTCGCTTTCCCCTCACGCGCTGGCCTGCACTCATGCTGAGCTGGCTCGTTATGGCCTCTTGGCCGGTAAATGATTGGCTGGTTCAGTTCCAGGCTGCCTCTCTGTACAGATACACGCACATACACACATGCAGACCCAGATGAAATCTAAGAAACACGCTTCCCAGGAACAAGTTTTGCCTTGTGCTGGCTTCATCAGTCCCTATTCATTGATTAACAATGCACACGGGGCCTCTGCCAATCTGCAGGGATCATGCATGATGTAGAATGAAAGCTTGAATACTTTGCCAAAGCCATTCAGCTGTGCTTCCTTGACCTTCAACATGTGCAGATGATACCAAACTGGGTGGGGTTGCGACTTCTTTGGAGGATAGGGACATAATTCAGAATGACCTTAGCAAGTTAGAGAAATGGTCAGAGGTAAACAGGATGAGGTTTAATAAAGAGAAATGCAAAGTGCTCCACTTAGGAAGGAACAATCAGTTCCATACATACAAGATGGGAAGCGACTGTCTAGGAAGGAGCATGGCGGAAAGGGATCTAGGGGTCATAGTGGACCACAAGTTGAATATGAGTCAACAGTGTGATGCTGTTGCAAAAAAAGCAAATATGATTCTAGGTTGTATCAACAGGTGTGTTGTAAGCAAAACTCGTGAAGTCATTCTGCCGCTCTGCTCTGCACTAGTTAGGCCTCAGCTGGAGTACTGTGTCCAGTTCTGGGCGCCACATTTCAAGAAAGATGTGGAGAAATTGGAAAGGGGACAGAGAAGAGCGACAAGGATGATTAAAGGTTTAGAGAACATGACCTATGAAGCCAGGCTTCATGAACTGGGCTTGTTTAGTTTGGAAAAAAGAAGATTAAGGGGGGACATGATAGCGGTTTTCAAATATCTAAAAGGGTGTCACAAGGAGGAAGGAGAAAATTTGTTCCTCTTGGTTTCTGAGGACAGGACAAGGAGTAATGGGCTTAAAGTGCAGCAGGGGAGGTTTAGATTGGACATTCCTATTATTCTATGATTCTATGATTCTATGATTCTATGTGCCTCTGGTTTACACCGGTTTGGGGGAGCCTTTTTTAGATTTGTTTACTTTTTGATGGCAGTGTCTGGGAGCCCCAGAGACAGACCAGCTCCCCACTGTGCTAGTTAGTGTATAAACCCCAAGCAGCAAGGTGAGTTCTGCCTCAGAGAGACTAAAGCATGTGGAACTTTTCACAAAAACATCCCTTCTCCCCACTGTGTTGTAAGTGTTTGAGTTAAATGTAGATTTGGGACTTACAAAGCAAACAAGTCCATGCTTAGATTATGAGTTTATTGAGGGAGGGACTGTCTATAACTCTGTCTCTGCACTGTGCCTCGGATAATGAGGGCCGTACTTTCTGTAAGATCTATGCAGCAACCACAAGAATGGGGTTCCCAGTCTCAGTTGATGCAGAACCTGGCAAAATGGGGTCTTTTATCTTGGGCTATGCAGTGCCTGGCACAAGGGGAGTGTGTGTGTGTGTGTGTGTGCGCGCGATCTTGACAGGTTCTTAAATTGTGTAACAAGATTGTACAATATTAGTGGTCAATATAATTCCTTAGTGGTTAATAATGAATATGGTGAATAAAGTAAAATATTTAACAAAGAAGGGTACTCGAGTGACCTTTTTTAAAAAGGGAGTCAAATGGGTCTAAAATGACATTCTTTCACCAAAGAGATTTCAACCAATTCAACAAATATCAGTTAAATACAGAGATTTTTCTCCCAACGGTTTCTTAGTTCTTTGAGACAAATGTGTGTATGTGTGTGTGCGTGTGTGTGTGTGTTTCACGCTATGATCTGTCATATCCCATTATACAATGATCAAATCGGACACAGAAAAAATGGGAATTGTATCTTTCTCTTTCAGTCAAAAAGTTACTGCAATAAAATTGAAATCTTTAACACTGAGAGGTTTTATGCCCTCTGTTTATTGGACATCGGAGTACAATAGAGATTCCCAAAACCAGGCAGAAGTGTTTTCAACTGTCTGATTAAGAACTCCTTTGTCTTCAGAGTTAATCTGGCCTTCATTCCTCACTGTGTCTCATCTCAAAATCTTCCCAGATCTCCAGTCACCCATAGAGGCATCTAGGGTGGCCAAGCCCTGAATTTCCAATGGCCAAAAATGGACACAAATTCCAGCACCACCAGAAAAGATGCCAGGCAGGGGCAAGAAGGCCCCTGTATTTCTGATTCTGTCTGAGAGCAGCGAGGAGCCGTACAAGCCCGGGGGTGGCGGGCAGAGAGGGCCCTCGCGAAGTGGCACACGCACACACACGCCTCATTGAGTAATGCTGGCGAGGCGCGCCCAGGCGTGACGACCCGGGGCAGCAGGTGCGAGGTGTATTTAAACCGTGCCTAGGAGGCAGGCGCGGGAGGATTGCAGGAGACGGGCCCGTGGAGGATGGAATCCCTCGGCCTTCGGCGACTGCTGCTGCTCGGGATCTGTGAGTCATGGGAGGGGAGGGAGATCTGCCTGCAGGACGGGGTTGGTGCGGTTTGGAAGCGGCTCTGCAGGCATGTTGTGGTGAGGCTGAGATCGGCACCGAGCGACTGTGCAGCTGGGGCCAGGACCTGCAAAGCAGGGCTGGGGAGAGAACCCAGGAGTCCCGGCTCACACTCTTCCTGCTCTAACCACTAGCCCCCACTCCCCTCCCTGAACCAGGGAGATAATCCAGGAGTCCCAGCTCCCAGTCCCACCCCCCTTCACTCACTAGCCCCCTCGCCCTTCCTAAAGCCAGAGAGAGAACCCAGGATCCTGCCTCACACTCTTCCTGCTCTAACCACTAGCCCCCACTCCCCTCCCTGAACCAGGGAGATAATCCAGGAGTCCCAGCTCCCAGTCCCACCCCCCTTCACTCACTAGCCCCCTCGCCCTTCCTAAAGCCAGAGAGAGAACCCAGGATCCTGCCTCACACTCTTCCTGCTCTAACCACTAGCCCCCACTCCCCTCCCTGAACCAGGGAGATAATCCAGGAGTCCCGGCTCACACTCTTCCTGCTCTAACCACTAGCCCCCACTCCGCTCCCTGAACCAGGGAGATAATCCAGGAGTCCCGGCTCACACCCTTCCTGCTCTAACCACTAGTCCCCACTCCCTTCCCGGAGCCAGGGAGAGAACCCAGGATCCTGGCTCACACCCTTCCTGCTCTCCTGATCTGCCCCCACCCCCGCACCTGCTCAAACCACAGCTCCCAGGGACCCCTGAGGGGGAGCAGGGGGGGCTCCCAGCTGTGCCTGGGGACCGGTGAGACCCCTCCGGGGCAGAGGAAAGGGGCCGTGGCCAGGGCTCCGTATCAGGGCAGGGCTGTTTACATTTGGGGCTGGAGCGGAGCTGGGACGCAGGGAAACCCTCATTTCCGCCCCACCCCCGCACCTGCTCAAACCACAGCTCCCAGGGACCCCTGAGGGGGAGCAGGGGGGGCTCCCAGCTGTGCCTGGGGACCGGTGAGACCCCTCCGGGGCAGAGGAAAGGGGCCGTGGCCAGGGCTCCGTATCAGGGCAGGGCTGTTTACATTTGGGGCTGGAGCGGAGCTGGGACGCAGGGAAACCCTCATTTCCGAGAAGAGGTCGCTGCCCTGTTTGTTCACTGCCTCTGAGCAGGTGCAAAAAGTCTGGTGAAACTCCAAACTGCCATGAGCAGCTTCCTCCAAGCCAGGGCTCAGCTCAGGGCAGGGCTGCACCACTCAGCTCCCAGGCAAACCTGCAGTGTCCTGGCTCCCAGCCCCCTGATCTAACCACTAGACTCCACTTCCCTCTGGGAACTGGGGACAGAACCTAGCACAGCTGACGTGGAACCCTCCCTGTTCTAACCACTAGCCCGCACTCCCCTTCCAGAACTGGGGACAGAACCTAGCCCCATTGACACCCAGCCCCTTGCTCTAACCACTAGCCCTAACCACTAGCCCGCACTCCCCTCCCAGAGCTGGGGACAGAACCTAGCCCCTCCCTCCTGACACCCAGCCCCTTGCTCTAACCACTAGCCCTAACCACTAGCCCGCACTCCCCTCCGGGAACTGGGGACAGAACCTAGCCCCTCCCTCCTGACACCCAGCCCCTTGCTCTAACCAAACCACACCACTTCCCTCCGGGAACTGAGGACAGAACCTAGCACAGCTGACGTGGAACCCTCCCTGTTCTAACCACTAGCCCGCACTCCCCTTCCAGAACTGGGGACAGAACCTAGCCCCATTGACACCCAGCCCCTTGCTCTAACCACTAGCCCCCACTCCCCTCCCAGAGCTGGGGACAGAACCTAGCCCCTCCCTCCTGACACCCAGCCCCTTGCTCTAACCACTAGCCCTCACTCTCCTCCCAGAGCTGGGGATAGAACCTAGCCCCAATGACACCCAGCCCCTTTCTCTAACCACTAGACCTCACTCTCCTCCCAGAGCTGGGGATAGAACCTAGCCCCACTGACACCCAGCCCCCTTGCTCTAACCACTAGCCCCCAGTCCCCTCCCAGAGCTGGGGAGTCCTGGCTTCCACATCACTGCCAGCCCGTTTTAATTCTGGGGTCCACCCCTCCCAGCGCCCCATCAGACAGGGGTCCCTCTTTCCCACCATCTTCCTGTGAGCTCCTCAGACCCCGGCTCCTCAGTGTGAATCTCTCCAAGCAATCTCTGCTCCCAGTACATCCCCGGGCCCGCCAGGGGCTCAGGGCATCGCCCGCTGCCTGGGTGCCGCCTTGGTTTCAGCTCTGCCCAGAGCCCCCTCTCTGGGGATGCCTCGCCTGTGGGGGCCTTTGCTCGCTCTCTGTCCCTCCTCGGCGTCCCGGGGTTCCTCCCCCTCTCCCCCCTTCTCCTGCCGCAGGGCGTCTTGCCAGGGCCCAGCCTCCTGCCTCCACACGTCTCCTCGCACCCAGCGCAGCCTCCCTGCAGCTCCCCCGCAGCCCTGCCTTCCTGCACATCCTCTCCCCAGCCCCCCAAACCTCCCCCAACTCCTCCCCCTTGGGCTTCGTCATCCCTGCGTCCAGCCCCTCCCTGGCTCGGGTTCTGGCTCCGAGTTGGCCAGGCTCCCGCCTGCCGGCAGCCTCTCACGCAATCTCCTCTCCGGTCCCTCTCCCATGGCCCTGAGCATCCTCCTTCGAAACCCAGCCCTGCCCGGCGGGGTGCGGTCCCAGGTCCAGCACCCCCTCCGGTGCCTGCTGGTGGCCGATGGATTCCCAGATTCCCAGACCCGAAGGGCCCATCGCGACCAGCTAGGGGTGAGCTCCCTGGAGACCATCAGCCTGTCCCTCGATAACTCCTAGGGCGGATCTCTCGGGAAAACAGCCAAACTTGATTCAAAAATCAAGGACCCCACCCTAAGCCTGGGGAAGTTGTTCCCATGGTTAATTTCGCTCCCCATTAAAAACATGCACCTTATTTATAGGCTGAATTTGGCAGCCACGTCCACCCTTGGCAGTTTTGTGAGAACAGGTGCTAGGTGTGACGGTGCTTCTCATCCTTTACTGATGGGCAGACCCCTCGAAAATGAGGGGCCGACGTTCCCTCGAGTCTTTTCCATGTGCTGATTTTTCCCCTTCCGTGTGTGGAATAAAATTGTTCCATGCACCAAGGCACGTGCAAATGTGCACCACCAATAACAACACAAAACACCCAGCAGGGGGCGCTCTGCTAATCAGCTGGGTGGCATTTCAATCTCAGCGGCGTGGCCGCACAAGCACACGTTTTACTGGCGGGGGCCCCTCTCAAAATCGATTGTCTGCACAAATACAGTGGAATGCTGTTGAGTCCGTTTTCAGTTTAAAGTCTTTTGGGGACCCCTTTGACACAGGCCACAGGCCTCCCAGGGATCTGCGGACTGCTGTTTGAGAATTACTGGTGTGTATCACTTACAGGCGCAGATGCCACACGGCTAGCTGTAGGATTTCTGTGTGTGTATCACAGCAGATCCCGCGGAAAAAACCTTCCAATCTTGATTTACCGATAGTTACGGATGGAGAATCTTCCCCGACCCTTGATTAATTGTTCCAGTGATTCAATCCCTCCTCGTTTCCCATCGGAATGTGTCTGACTTCAACTTCCACCCACTGGATCTTGTTAGACATTTCTGGGCGCAACTGAACGGCCCATTAACAAATATTCACTCCCTGTGGAGGTCGTTAGAGAAGGTGACCAAGGCAGCTTTTAACCCTCTCTTTGTTAAGCTAAATAGATTGATTTAGGGCATCTCACCATAAGGCAATAAAAAAACCCTTAAACACCAAGGACTGGACAAAATAGATTGATTTAGGGCATCTCCCCATAAAGCAATAAAAAAAACCCTTAAACACCAAGGACTGGTCCTGTAGCACCGTAGAGACGGACAAAACATGCAGATGGTGTCATGAGCTTTCGTGGGCACAGCCCACTTCTTCAGATGAGTGGAGCAAGAGGCACCGGGGGACAAATATAAAGCAGAAAAAGGGGAGAGGAGCAGGAGGGGAAAAGGAGCCTTAACTCATTCTCACGGCTCTTCTCTGCACCCTGCGGCAACGTTATCCACACCCCATCTCCCCTCCCGCTGCAGGGACTTGTTCGGGGGAGTTTTGCCAAAGTTTCCGCGCTGGGAGCTGCTCGTGGGAGGTTTTCTCACAGCCACCTGCAGGTGCTGATGCTCTGGCCAGTGCATTTCGCGGGGAAGACACGTGTTTTGCTTCAAGGGGGGAGGGCAGGTTCTGAGAAACGTGAGTCAGGCACCTCGCCCTGGAGTCTGAACCGAAAAGAGCACGTGCTGGTCTTGGCAGCAGCGGCGCGAGCCAGGGGGCTGATCGTGAGGAAAACGTTTCCAGAGTCTGACAGGCTTTGGAAGGCTAGTTTTGAGGAGCTGCTGCCCGGGGAGGGGCGCACTGGATCACGACAGCTCCTCTGACAGGCTTTGGAAGGCTGGTTTTTGAGGAACTGCTGCCCGGGGAGGGGCGCACTGGATCACGACAGCTCTCTGGTTTGTGTAGATTGGACCAGTCCTTGCCAACAGCTGCAATCTGGGTTTGGGGTTTAGATTCCATGGCCAGCCATAGTCACTGCTAACCACTAGACTCCACTGCCCTCCCCGAACCAGGGACAGAGCCCAGGGGTCCTTCTCCTCCAACCCAGGGGCTCTAGTCCACAAAAGTGAGTGCCTCAAAGATGGACGCTCTCCCTGCTGAGTCCACTGGACATATCGGGCCTGGGCTGTCCTGGAGTCAGATACCAGGCCCTGCTGCACCACCGTGGCCCTCCAGATGAGACCCCGCCCGGGGCTACCAACGCAGGCTCCTCACCCTTGTTTTCTCTCCCTTACAGGCCTCCAGCAGGGAGCAGCGGCTGCAGGTAGGAAGCCCCAAACTCTGCTCCGAACTTGTGGCAGGTGATTTCAGCTGCCCTCTTCCAGGCTCCCGATTGGCTGGTTCCACCAACCATGGAGCAGTGGTGGGCGGGGAGTAGGGACAACGGGTCCCGAAAGGAGGATTGACGCATTCCCCAGTGGGCTACTGCGAACCTGTCAATGCCCCGAGACCGGGGCTGAGACCCTGGGGCGGAAATTCAGCACTGGGATGTGTGAACCCGGGTGCTGCAGGGAAGACACGGGAAGGGACCGTCCCCTTCTCAACACTGGGGAGGCCTCACCCGGAGTCCTGTCTCCATTTCGGAGCGTTGCGCTTTAGGAAAGATGTGGCCACGTGGAGAGAGTCCGGAGGAAAAGCAAGACCCTGGGAAACGCTTCCATTCGCTGAGCGATGGAGAAAGGCTCACACCCCGGGCTGGGTTGGGTCTTGAGAAGAGAAGAGTGTGGGGGGAGCGGAGGCCCATCTTGAAATGGGTGCAGGGCTGTTATACAGAGGCGGGTCACCCGGGGGTCTCCATGTCACTGATGGTCGGCCAAGGAGCAAAGGGCTTACTCGGCCGCAGGGGAGAGTTAGGTTAGAAAGTAGAAACTTTACAGCATCACAGAACACTGGAACTGACAGGGACCTCCAGGCTCATCGAGTCCAGCCCCCTGCCCTCACGGCAGGACCAAGCACCGTCTAGACCATCCCTGACAGGTGTGTGTCCAACTTGCTCTTACGTGTCTCCAGGGATGGAGATTCCACAACCTCCCTTTATTAAGCTCTGGACCAAGGTTTCCAAGGGCGGACGTGGGATCCCCATTCCTGGAGGGTCTAAAGATCAGGTCGGACAAACACGGGTCAAGGACGATACAGACTTACTGTGTCGGCGTTGGGGGCTGGACTCAATTGGCCCTTCCACTCCGACATTTCCAAGAGTCTATACGGGCTGGACCTCTCTAATTCGGCCCTCTCTGGCCGGCAACATCCATGGTCCGGCGTGATTTGAGCTCGCCGGACGTCCACTTGTGGGTGTGGCCAAGTTTCCCGCAGTCCCATAAAGTTTGTGTCCAGCTGCCCATCCTGGCTCTGTGTCTGGGCTGTTCTTTAGCTCTAATTTACCCCTTGACGTCTTCTAAGCGCCCAGGAAGCAGCGGCAGTGTTGGGAATATTGACTTCTGTGGTCCGGCAAATTCTCTGGTTCAACATCAGTCAGGTCCTGAGGGTGCCGGACCAGAGAGGTTCAACCTATATTGATAGACTAGGCAAGTGAAGCCATTCCCTCCTGCTTTAACCACTGGACTCTGCTCCCCTCCTGGGGTAACCGCTCCTCCTTTGATTTCTCCCATGGGTGGAGTCGATTACTGGGGGATCACTCAGTTCCCTCCTCTCTCCAGGACCAGCCTGTGGCCAGCAGAGAGTGTTAAACCGAATCGTTGGTGGGACCAATGCCCAGAGAGGGGAATGGCCCTGGCAGGCCAGCCTGCAGCTCCGCGGGGAGCACTTGTGTGGAGGGACCTTGATCGGTGACAAGTGGATCCTCTCGGCTGCTCACTGCTTCATCGGGTGAGTTAGAACCTCCGGGCTAGCACCGGGGAGATAAAAGTCTGCATCATGGGGCAGCTTGACCTGTGGGTCTCCTCTCCTGCTGAGAGTGCTCAGGGCTGTTCTGGACCACAGCAAGGCCTCCAGAATGGTGTCGAGAGCTGTGCATCTAGAGCTTTGAGAAAGCAGAGCTGGACATCCAGGGCTGTTTCATAGCCTAGGGCAAGAAAGCTAGAATCACGTGCTCCACTCAGAAAGCTAGAACCATGTGTTAAATCCAGAATGAACAAGCCTCCGTCTACGGCTCTAGACCAGACCTGTGCTCAAACCACGTACGCCGGAGACTCTAGGAGAACATCCTCAGCTTAAATCTCAAGCACCTACAAGATCTAGAAAGGTGTTCAGAGTCTATAGTACACAGCAATGAGTCTAGAACCATGCACCTAATCTAGAATGAGCCACGAGCAGTGAATGTAAAGTGGTGTGCACCATCTGCAGTTGTGGAGCTAAACTTGTAAGCATAATCTAGAAATTATGGAACCTTTAATCTAGAAAGAGCAACAGGAGCAGTGAATCTAGATCTGCATGCACCATCTAAAACAAACATGGAGACATGGAACTAAAACAGCATGTACCAACCACAGCAAAGAACCTCATGCTTTCTACATCTAGAATTAGCCTAGACCCACAATCGAATAGTTTTATACACTGCCTGGAGCCGTTCTAGAGCCATGGATGAAAAACAGTGAGCAAGACAGTTGAGTTCTGGAGGCACAATCTAGAAGGAAGCTAGAGCCACACATCTCCAGCTGAATCCAGAGCGAGTTTAGAGCCATGCATCTAAAGGGTTGCCCACCAAGAGACACAAATCTAGAGCCGAGTGCATCCTACTCGATAACCCCAGAATGGGGAAGCAAGAAGCATCCAGAGGCATTGAGCTAGAAGCAAGCGCCCCACCCAGAGTCAGGAAGCAACCTCAAGCTATGTGCCCTATCTAGAACAATCTACAAGATCTAGAAAGGTGTTCGGGGTCTATAGTACACAGCAGTGAGTCTAGAACCAGGCAGCTAATCTAAAACGAGCCGAGAGCAGTGTGTGTAAAATTGTGTGCACCATCTGCAGTTGTGGAGCTAAATATGTAAGCACAATCTAGGAATTATGGAACCATTAATCTAGAAAGTGCAACAAGAGCAGTGAATCTAGACCTGCATGCACCGTCTAGAACAAACATGGAGACGTAGAACTGAAACAGCATGTACCAACCACAGCAAAGAACCTCATGCTGTCTAGAATTAGCCTAGACCCACAATCGAATAGTTTTATACACTGTCTGGAGCGGTTCTAGAGCCATGGATGTAAAACAGTGAGCAAGACGGTTGAGTTCTGGAGGCACAATCTAGAAGGAAGCTAGAGCCACACATCTCCAGCTGAATCCAGAGCGAGTTTAGAGCCATGCATCTAAAGGGATGCCCACAAGAGACACAAATCTAGAGCCGAGTGCATCCTACTCGATAACCCCAGAATGGGGAAGCAAGAAGCATCCAGAGGCATTGAGCTAGAAGCAAGCGCCCCACCCAGAGTCAGGAAGCAACCTCAAGCTATGTGCCCTATCTAGAACAAGCCACTCCAGAGCCGCGGGCCTATAACAGTGGAGTCTAGAACCCAGCACTTTCCCAGCCCGGTCATGACACCCCCTTTCTTATCTCCCCGCAGGAAAGACACGACCAAGGACCCCGCTGCCTGGAAGGTGGTGCTGGGGCGTCTGCAGCTGAGCGGTGGCCCGCTGCAGGGGGTCGTGCGCAACGTCTCCCAGATCATCACCCATGAGAAGTACCAAGACTACACCAAGGGCATGGACATCGCTCTGCTGCGCCTGGCGGAGCCCGTCCCCTTTGGCCGTGACGTAGCCCCCATCTGCCTGCCCTACCCCAGCCACCAGTTCGCCTTCGGGTCCCAGTGCTGGGCCACCGGCTGGGGCCGGGTGATGGAGGACAGTGAGTGAAAGGGGAGAGCCCACTGGGGGAAGATGGAGACGTCTCGCCCACCCTGCTCAGCTGGGGCAGGCTGGTCCCCAACTGGGCCCAGAGTGAGTCTTCTCCTCCCCCTCTCCGCAGGGACCCTACCACCCCCCATGCCTCTCAAGAAGGTGGAGCTGGACCTGCTCAGTGCCGAGACCTGCAACTGCATTCACAGCAACCTGCGGCAGAAGGAGCTGTCCAGTCCGGCCAGGCCGGGGCTGATCTGTGCCGGGTTCCAGAGTGGAGGCGTGGGGCCCTGCCAGGTGACTGAAAAGGGGGTGCCCAGTGGGAGCAGATGAGTTAGGGGAGGAGGCAAAGCATTGCCCTGAGCCAGGGGGCGAAGGGACCCCGCCCTGACTCCCCTGCCCATCCCTTCCCAGGGTGATTCGGGCGGGCCGGTGGTCTGCTCCGAGAACGGGACGTGGTTCCAGGCCGGGATCCTCAGCTTCTCAGTGGGCTGTGCCCGGCCCCACAGCCCCATCCTGATAACCGAGGTCACGGCCTACGCCAGCTGGATCGAGAACCGCACCTGGGGAGCCTCCTTTGCTGTCCAGACGGGGCCAGCCCCCTTCAGCAGCGAGGAAGGGAAGTGCAAAGGTATGGCCAGTGGGGAACGGGACATGGGGCCTTTCCCCTCCAGGGGGCGCTGGTTCTAGTCCAGCCCCAGGACTGAGGGTTGGGCTGGCTTAGGAGGGCAGGCGAGGGGCTACTGACTCCTAATCTCTCCAGGCTGTGGGAAGCCGAAGGGATACGAGCTGAACTTTTCCGCCACGGGGGCCTGGCCCTGGTACGTGAGCCTGCAGTTTGGAGGGCAGCACGTCTGCGGGGGAGCGCTGATCTCCGAGAGCTGGGTGCTGGCGGCTGCTCACTGCTTCATCGAGTGAGTGAGGGGCACCAGGCTGGGTGACCTAGCAGGGGCTGGGAGGAGGAGGGAGGGAGAGGAGGCCCCCTCCTTGGATATGCATGTCTCTGGCAGATACGAATGGCTGTCTGTAATGTCTGCCCTGCCCAGTTTTAATAGGCAGCAGGTTTGAGACACACAGAAAGAAGTGTCTCCTCACTCAATGCACCAACAACCTGTGGAACTCCTTGCCAGAGGATGTTGTGAAGACCAGGAGTTGAACAGAGCTCAAAAAGAGCCAGATAGATTCATGGAGGTTAGGTCCATCAATGGCTATTAGCCAGGATGGGCGGGGATGGTGTCCCTGGCCTGTTTGCCAGAGGCTGGAAATGGGCAACAGAGGAGGGATCACTTGATGGTTCCCTGTTTTCTTCACTCCCTCTGGGGCACCTGACATTGGCCACTGTGGGCAGACAGGACACTGGGCTGGATGGACTTTTGGTCTGACCCAGTCTGGCCACTCTGATGTTCTGATGGTCTCCCCCTTTGAACCCCACTCTGCTCCCAGAGCCAGGGACAAAACCCAGCAGCTTACCCCCCTCCTCCAGTCCCTGCTGCTGTATCCTACTAGACCCCACTCCCTCCCCCGAGACGGGGATAGGACCCCGGGAATCCTGGCTCCCAGCCTGCCCCCGACAAATCGGTGACCCCCGAGGGGCTGTGTTGCAGGCGGCAGGAGCACACGGACTGGAAGGTGCTGCTGGGTGAGCGGCGGGAGGGGGCAGAGCCACGCTGGCAAGAAGAGCGGGGCCTACAGAAGCTGATCCTCCACGGGGCCTTCGTGAACGTGACCGAGGGCAGCGACATCGCGCTGCTGCAGCTGGCCCAGCCGGTGGTGTTCGGGGAGCACCTCTGGGCTGTCTGCCTCCCTTACGAAACACACCGGTTCCGGCTTGGGGGCACCTGCTGGGCCAGGGGACGGGAGAAAGGTACGTGGCACACGGGGCCTTTCCCCTCTAGGGGGCGCCAGATGGGGTCTGCCCCCCAGCTGGTAACTGTCTGGCTTAAGAGGCCCGGGTTGGATTCAGGGGTAGGACGTCCTCACTTCCAACCCAATGTCTCTGTGCTTCCACAGCTCGGGCACCCACCCCACAGCCACTCCAGGGGGTGGGGGTGGCTCTCCTGGGACCAGTGGCCTGTAACTGCAGCTACAGCCAGTCCATCTTAGCTGGTGAGGCCGGGCCCATCCTCCCGGAAATGCTTTGTGCTGCTCAGCAGGCAGAGACC